GAAAGAGCTACGTCCCCTCCAACGATGAAACAGGGACCCCTAAAAGTGGACAGCCTAGAGAGGACCGTCGCTAGAAACGGAGCCTGATCTATATTGGGAGCGTAAATATTCGCCACTGTAAAAAAATCTTGGTATTTCAATTTAAGGAAGAGGTAGTGACCAGTTGGTACAATTAGGGAGTCCAGGACCTCCGGGCTGAAGGTATAATAAAAGGCCACCGACACCCGCCTAGACCTAGCCTGCGGATTAGTACTATGATACCACTGAGTATAGTGATGATTGTGGAGGGCTGGGATACCATCAGAGTGAAAATGAGTCTCGTAGAGTAGCAAGATCTGCGCTCCACATTTATGAAAATGGTAGAGCATCTGGCTCCGCCTCTCTGGAGTGTAAAAGCTCCTACAGTTAAGAGAGGAAAATTTAATCAGAGTCATAGTTGGTTGAGGGAGAACAAATAGGAGAAAAAAAAAGAGGGAAAACCCCCAAGAGGAAAGAAAAGAAGGGGATTAGATAAAAACTAGCGAAAAGGGAAAAAAAAAAAGCCAAGAAAGGAAGAGCAGAAAAAAAGATAAATGGGAAGGAGAAACTACTAGACAGGTGAGCTGTCAAAATAACATACAGTGTGATACTGCGTAATACACCGAAGGCTTAGGTGGGAAAAGTCAAAAGCACATGTATCCGATCCCGACCCAGGCCTCCTACAGGCAAATGATAACTTGAGGGAGGTCACCCTCAGGTGCGGGCGACCCCCTCTACAAAATGTATTCAATAATCCCTCAAACAGGCATGAGAAAGTAGGGCCATATGGATCAAAATTTGGCCAGTTCAGCAGGAACTGGCCAAATTCCAATCTGTGTGTAGTCCTCCCTTTTAGATAGAAGCCTATTGGGACTGCAGTAAAATCTCGTTCGATCAGCAGCTTGCAGCCAATTGGCTGTAGTGCCGTTCAGTGTATTCTGACAGTGAAGAGCCCCCACTGTCAGAATACAATGTCCAGGCAGGCTGCCCAGGTGAAAAAAAAAATATGTGTGTATCCAGCTTAAGGATGAGAACCAGTCTTTTCACTGCTACATCACACAAACAACTTTGTGATATAATGACTACAGAATGGTCCCTGTCTTTTAAGTTCTTTCTCCATTGTATACATATTTCTACCTCTCCTAATATGGAGGATATTTAACCACTTGCCTACCGGGCACTTTTACCCCCTTCCTGCCCAGGCCAATTTTCAGCTTTCATTGTTGTCGCACGGTCATGAAACACTGTACCTAGACAACATTTTTAGCATTTTTTTTACATAGATAGAGCTTTCTTTTGATGGTATTTAATCACCACTGGGGTTTTTTATTTTTTGCTAAACAAACCAAAAAAGACTGAAAATTTTTTAAATAAAAATGTTTTTTCTTAGTTTGTGTTATAGAAATTTTGTAAATAACTATTTTTTCTCCTTCACTGATGTGCGCTAATGAGGCTGCAGTGATGGGCACTGATAGGCTGCACTGATGGGCACTGAGAGGTGGCACTGATAGACAGCACTGATACGTGGCACTGATGGGTACTGACAAGCATCATTGACAGACACTGAAAGGCAGCACTGATACGATGGGTACTGAAAGGCATCATTGACAGACACTGAAAGGCAGCACTGATTGGCACTGATACGTGGCACTGATAGGCATTGACAGGCATAACAGATGGGCAGTGAAAGGCAGCTCTCATATATGGCACTGATAGGCGGCACTGACTGGCATTTATACGTGGCACTGATAGGCGTCATTGACTGGCACTAATAGGTGTCACTGACTTTCAGCTCTGATGGGCACTGATATGTGGTATTGATGTGCACTCATGGGCACTGGTATTTGGCATTGATGGGCACTAACAGGTGGCAATTATGAGCACTGAAAGGCAGCACTGATGAGGCTGCACTGATGACCAATGCCCTGCTTATCAGTGTAAATGTCCCCTTTGAGAAAAAACTGCTTACTGGCTCTCCTCTCACGCTGTCAGCATGAGGAAAGGAGAGCCGAATACCGGCATTTCCTGTTTACATGTGTCATCGGCTTTTCATTGCAATCAGTGACCGCTGTGTCCCAGGGACGCAGCACGCCACCGATCTCCGCACGCTCCCTGGGATGCGCATATGCGCAGCTAGAGTGGGAGGACATCATATGACATCCTCCCAGAACGAGAGAGCCCTTCATTTCCTTATATGGCGGGTGTGAGGCAGTTAAAGCAGAACTAAAGGCAAAACTTTTTTTTTTGGATAGTTGAAGAGTTAGAATTCCAGTCAGTGTTTTTGTTTTTTTTTTGTTTTTTGCCCATTTGCATCCTATTTAGGATATTTCTCTTCACTTCTTGTTCCATTGCCAAGACAGAAAATGAGAGGAAATCTCTCCAAAGTGAGGGAATCCCTTTTTGTCACCAGGCTCTTAGGAACTTTGGAGCCCATTGGAAGGTTTCCTCTCTATTTTTTTCTTGTGACAACCCAAAATTTGTGACTTTCTTTCACTTTCAGTGATAATGTTAAAATCTGCAAATCCCTAACGGGGACACAGTCAGCAATAAAAACCTGACAGGTGTTCTAATCCCTCTCCACTCTATCCAAATGTAAAAAAAAAAGGTTTTGCCTTTAGTTCTACTTTAACCGCTTCCCAGCCGCTCTATAGCTGAAAGATAGCTACAGCGCAGTCCTTCAGTTCTGGAAGGGCGTTCATGGATGTCTTCACAGAACCCTGCTTCCTGCTTGGAGTGCGCACCGGGTGCGCTGTGTGGGCCGCTGTGTCTTTTGGACACAGCTGATCACAGATCACAGTGAAGGGGCAATCACAGCAGCCCTTTACCATATGATCAGCTGTGTCGAATCACAGTTGATCACATGGAAACAGATTTGCTGTTTTTTGGCAGTCCTTTCTATGCTGATAATCAGGGCAGTGATCATTAGTGTCCTGATTATCAGTGCAGCCCCATCAATGCAGATCAGTGCCCATCAGCGCACAGCAGTGAAGAAAAAAATATTTGCTAAATTTTTTAACAGAAGCAAAGAAAAAACTTTTGTTTTCAAAATGTTGTCTTTTTTTTGTTTAGCAAAAAAGAAAAAAACCTAGCAGTGATGATTAAATACCACCAAAATAAAACTATATCTGTCTCAAAAAAAAATTATAACAATGTAATTTGCGTACAGTGTGCATGACCGCGCAATTATCAAAGTGCAACAGTGCTGAAAGCTGAAAATTGGCCTGGGCAGGAAGGGGGTGAAACTGCCTGGTATTGAAGTGGTTAAGGGATGGCTTCAAGAAACATCTATTAATTGCATGCTGACAAAATTTTTCATTGCTGCATAATTTAGCAGCACAGTGGCTAAATGGTTAACACTTCCGCCTGGCAGCACTAGGATTGTTGATTCAAATCCCAACCATGGCTTCACCTGCCTGGAGTTTGCATGTTCTCCCTGTGGCTGCGTGGGTTTCCTCCGGGTACCCTGGTTTCCTCCTATACTCCAAAGACATGCTGGTAGGTGAATAGGCTCCTGTCCAAATTGGCCCTAGTATGTGTATGTATGAATGTAAGTTAGGGACCTTAGATTGTACACTCCTTGAGGGTTAGGGACTGATGTGAATGTAAAATATACAGCTGTGCCTCGGTTAACGTAATTTTCAGTTTACGAATGAAAAGCCATTGAAAATAATGCCTCGGTTTATGAATTTTTAATTACTTTTTTTTGCAATGCAAAGTGCATGTCGGTGCAGATTTTTTAAATACAATTGCCGGCTTTTTTTTCCTTTCACTATAGCTCACAGAATTAGCTGTCACTTTCCCTGCAGCTAAAGGATACTTTGTTTCTTTTATCTGGGGAAACTAAAAGGAAACATTTGTTTCTTTTAACTCGGGAAATAAACTAAAAGTAACTTTCTTTTAGCTGGGGGGAAAGTGACAGCTGATTCTCTGAGCTATAGTGAAGAAAAAAAAAAAGCAGGCAATTACATTTAAAAACTGTCACTGACCTATAGTGACAGCGACTTTTTTTTTTTTAACTTTTTTCTGACCTCCAGAACAGATTAATTGGTTTTCAATGCATTCCTATGGGAAACTGCGTTCGGTTTACGAATTTTTCGCAATACAAAACGTCCTGGAGAACACATTAAATTCGTAAACCGAGGTACACCTCCCCTTATATTTTATCTTGATGAGGATTAAAAATAAGGACTTCTTAGTTATACATATGGTAGAATGGATTTATTACAGGTATTTGCATAGCTCTGCGCAAAATGACAGCACTATACAAATACCTGTAATCAGGGGCGGACTGACCATTTGGAAACTCGGGCACTGCCCGAGGGCCCAGGGTCAGTAGGGGGCCCCATGAGATGCCCCTGGTACCTTCCTCATAGGCTTTTTTGAGTTTGGGCAAGGACACAGGGGCCCCATGATCCCCTATTGCCCGGGGCCCCATGAGTTGTCAGTCTGCCCCTGCCTGTAATAAATCCATTCAACCATATGTATAACTAAGAAGTCCTTATTTTTAATCCTCATCAATATAAAATATACAAAAACTACTCCTGGGGATGGAGCCTTGCAGAGGAGTCTGGGAACAGCTGTATCTAGAGATAGGATATCCAATGCTGTATTATACTCAGATATCACGCACATATAGATCTCACTATTTGCTCCATCAGACCTCCAACAACGCCCCTTACAGCCCATGCTGACGTCGCTTATTACAATTGGTTACAGCATAAAACTGAACCACGCCCCCACCTGTAAGACACGTGGATGCATCGCCACGCAATTGGGGTCCTATAGAAAGAACTTTTAGATGCCCTATTAGTGCCTGATATGACCAAATTCATTGGGGGTTACCGCGTTGTCATTAACTGAAAGTATAGCATTTGTATAGTGTTCTTTCCAGCTAATAATCCCAAGAGACGTTTGTGTCTGTTTATTCCAATGCAGTGATTAGAGGTGCTGTAGTATGGCAGGAGGAGGACAGCTCGGTGAGGGGGGCTTCGCGGCTCAGTATAGCCGGAGCAGCCGGTGTGGACGAGTCCCAGGTAATGATGATAACAATGAAGGGGAGGGGTGGCTGGTTACCTGGAGAAGACGAGGAGGAAGGTCAGGGTGTCACGTGGAAATAATAGCGGTCTCCTAAGCAGAATAGCAGAGGGTGAGGTGGTCTATGTACACACAGGAGCACTCAGCACCTCCTATCTGTATTACTGTTCACACACATGATGGGGAAGGATATCATTGTGAAATGTAAACATGCCATAATGCACAAGATCCATCACACAATAAAATGTCCCTCCAGACGTAAGGCTGACCACACACTATACAAGCTGATTGTACAATCTCAGATCTACCATTAACTATGCATTGAGGGGTTCTGGCTGAAATTGTGTATTGAACGGTTTGTTCTATTACATCGTTTTGATAGGTCTGTAGCCGGGAGGCCCTCCGGCTGTGTACTGCTGTCTCTTCCCCCACCACTGTGATGCTGGCTGAGAGGAGCGCTGGGCTGTGTGTACTTCAGCCTTCCTCGCTGCCCTGCAGAGCAGGTTGTATGCCTTCCCTGCTCACTACGGCTTCCCCCCCTCCCTCCTGGCAGCAGCAGCTTAGATCCAACCAGTGGCAAGTAATGATGCAGCTGCTGAGGACTCTGGGACATGTAGTCCTCAAGCAAGGCCGCACAATACAATTGAATGGAGGCTGATGGAGCTGTCGAATTCAGTACCCAGGATTCCCTGTTCTCAAAAGGAGAGAGAAGTCTTTTCCCTGGCAATTGTGCAAAGATTTGGGAAGAAAATGAGGGGAAACCACCGCATACAGTTAATGTCTATAGAGACTGATTCTTACCTAACAGCTCATCAGACATGTATTGCAAACACCGCTTCACGTACACCACCTTACAGAAGGGCCCAACGATAGCAGGCTAATATTAACAATTAGGCGCCAGGTACTATGCAGTAAGCTCCAGGGGTACCCCTTTGTCAGAAATGCATACGCCCACCCACTGTTGGGGCTGTATGTGTAGTGTGCACTCGAGAATTTTATTTTTGAGTTAGCTAATGCCCTTACTTTTAATCCTGTTTGCATTAGTTAAAATTTGGTTTAGCATTACTATAGTTCAGTTGATTCTCATCATACTATAGGTTTAGTGTTCTTACTTTATCTAACACCTAGCAGCCTGTGACCTATTTCATGAATACTGATGTGGTATGGGGTATGGTGATACACTAACAAGGTATAACTAAAGGCTAAACGTTTTTTTTAAGTTTTGGATAGAATAGAGGGATTAGAACACCTGTCAGTTTTTTTGCTGTCTGTGCCCCTGTTAGGGAGATTCACCCTCTCTATTTGTCCTATTTACCATTATCATCGAAAGTAAAAGAAAAATCCTAAATTTTGGGTTGTCCCCAGAAAAGTAATAGAGGGGAAATATTCCAATAGGAACACTAGTTCTGGTGACCTGGGGGTCCCCAGGGAATTCACTTCATTTGCAGGGATTTCTTCTCACTTCCTGTTTTTGTCTATGGGACAGAAAGTGAAGGGAAATCTCCGCAATGGGACACAGATGCCGAAAAAAAATCTGACGGTTTATAACCTTCCCTTGCTCTATTCAAAATGGGGTAAAAAAAGGTCTTCCTATAGTTCTACTCTGTTACACAGGTGTGAGCGGCTTTCAGTCTAGAACTAGGTGTGTCAGTGAGAACCAAGCAGTTTAACCACTTCAATACCAGGCACTTTTACCCCCTTTCTGCCCAGGCCAAATTTCAGCTTTCAGCTTTGAATAACAATTGCGTGGTCATGCAACACTGTACCCATATGAAAATTTTAGAATTGTTTTCACACAAATAGAGCTTTCTTTTGGTGGTATTTGATCACCGCTGAGTTTTTTATTTTTTGCTAAAAAAAAGTCAGAAAAGTTTGAAAAAAAAACACGTTTTTCTTTGTTTCTGTCATAAAAGTTTGCAAATAAATAACCTTTCTTCAGAAATTTAGGTCAAAATGTATTCCACTACATTTTTTTTGGTAAAAATCAGTGTATAATTAGTCTGTAGGAAAGTTATAGAGTCCACAAAATATGGTATTTTATATATCTGAAAATTGATCAGTCCTGATGTACTGACGGCCTTGTCTCATTTCTTACCCCCAAATGACCCCTTTTGGAAAGTAAATAGGCCAAGGTATTTAGTAAGAGGCATGGCGAGTTTTTTGAAGTTGTAATTTTTTTTGTCACAATTTTTTGTAAAATGAAGAAATTTAAAGGAAAAAGTTCACCATTTTTTTTTTTTTTTTAAACATACTGTCACCAGTCCAATACAGCGTTATCATACAGCTGGTGTGGCGGTGATCAGGGACACTGATGATAGTATGTAAAAAAAATAATAGTAATTTTTTTTTTTTCTTATTTACAATTTTTTTTTTAACACACTGTAACACTGTACTACTCTGGGGAAGTGAACAGGATTATTATTATTTTATTTTTTTTACACCTTATGATTGCTTAAGTATTTCATTGATATAAGAAACCATTTTTACAGAGTGAAACTGATTCATTCAGTGTCTTTTGTTGTGATTAGCTGTGATTGGCCAAAGCTAATCACATGGTACAGATGGACTGTGATTTGCCCTGTCTCTACCATGTTACCGCTGTGACCAATCACAGCTAACAACACAATTGTATACAATGGATGGCATGAAAGGAAACCGACCATTGTATACAATTGTCATGTGATCTGCTGTGATTGGTCACAGCGATCACTTGACACTGGCAGTGTGTAGGTATAGTGATTAGTCATTGGCTATGACGTCGGTCATTCAGAAGGCACTCAGAAAGAGGTACGTCCCACGTCGGTCATTCAGAAGGCACTCAGAAAGAGGTACGTCCCACTCTGCCATCGATCTGCTATAGACTGGGCAGGAATGTGTTAAGGAGTCGTGGCAGAACAGAGGACCCATTAGTCCAAGCAGCTCTACCAAGTGAAGTGCTTCAAGTCTAAAAGTGCTCGTATAGATTGTATATGACCAGCCTAAAGTGGAACTTAACCAACTGCTTTAACTGTTTTCCACAACTGTTACTTTCAAGGCATGAATGATAACTGTCCAAGCTGCTTGTTCTCTCAACTGAATTGTTAAGCCATCAAATGACTGGTGTCGTAGCTGATCATATGTGCAGCACCATGGCAACTGAAGATTAAACACAGGCTAAGATGGCAGCTTTCTGGACTGTAAAGGGTAGGAGGTGTAGTTCCACTTCATGCCTCGTGCACACTGGTTTAGCCCCTGTGCATGGGATCCAGCATTTTGGTGCGGGTGGAAGGCAACAGATACACCATTCAACCCCAATGTCTGTAAAAGACTTCTTGTGTTACGGACATTCGTCCCTGGGACATATTGCACTATGTTAGTACCACTCGGTGCACCATTCAGCCGCAGCAGCTTTCACAGGCATACAGCAGTGTGCTGGAATGTGTGCCTCTCTGCCTTCTACCCAAGATAAAACGCTGGAATCTCATGCACTGGGGTAGGAAGTCTTTAATACAAATAAAATATTACTGTGCTCTCATATTCCAGCATCTTTACAGTGCAACTTATACATTCGTCATTTTTAGTTATTATTTTTGATTACAACTATAAGTACTGTTAGTTGTGTCGTTAGTAAAATGTATTACATTATACAGATAATGGATGGATAAGTTTTAATTACAGAGGACACTTATAGGCCTCAGGCTAGGTTCACACTCGTGCGATACATCGCATGTGATTCGCACAGGAACCGCACCGCATTCCTGTGCAAATCACATGCTAATTGTGTGCGGTGCGATTTGAGCCATACATTATGTATGGCTCAAATTGCACCACATCCGCACTAGAATCGGATCGTATGGGTATTCACATGTGTGCAGTCCGATTCTGCACATCGCACTGTGTTTTGCGAACCAATTTCGGGGTGTTGTCAACTTAACATACACACCCACAGCGGTTCGCATCAACTGGGTGCGATCCTGATGTGGTGTGGAATAAGCACAGAAAACGCTGTGAATTCCAGGCCGCATCAGTGTGAACCCAGGCTCAATGACCCAAGCACTTAGGCCTGTACACCAAGAATTGGCATTTTATGTGGCTGAAGTTTCCAGGTGCTATGTGCAGGCATTTGAGTCAAGGGGGGCACAGTGGTGGCACACAGCTACTCGTCCTAATTTCGGAGCCATGCTGGTCAGTGGCCCTGAATGCAGACAGTATGTGTTGGTACATGAGCCATGCGGTTGCAATTATTTCTGAATGTCACCCCAATGTACCTTGTTGATGGATGTACATTGCAGTGCATTTTGTGGCAAGCCCCCAATCACACTTAGTCTGAATGTAACCAGGCTATTTAGAGGCTTTATTTTGCATCTTATAAAGTGCAACTTGTAGTACAAGAGCAGGATCATACCTTTTTGGCCCACAATTTCAAATGGGAGTGCCGTGTATAACGCATCAGTATGTGTTTTTTTTTTTTTTTTTTTTTGTACTATTAAAGTGTATTGGGGCCAAGAACACACAATTCCGACCCAAATCAACTCATATGTTGTCAAGCATTACATGACAAGCGACACAGCACTTGGGTGTGAACTGTCTCATTGAAAATAATGGGATTCTGCATGTGGAGGAATCATGCGACTAAACGTTCACCTGTGAATAGGGGCCAAAATGTCTTGCTCCTAGCTCCCTGTTCCTAAACACTTACCTGCACCATGTTACTGATCCAGCGCTGTCTCCGGCTTCTGCAACACTCCTTGCACTTCCCGGTCAGACAGGAGAAGCTGAGAACATCTGAGCTGTAGAGTCCTGGTGCTGTCAGTCAAACTCATGTGAGGAGGGAGCCGGAATGTGGCTTACTGGTGCTGTGAGTCAATGGATGCACATAGCTTCGCCCAGGAGCCCACTCGCTTGACTTGCTACAGGATGCACCCAAAAGGGGGAGATACCAGAAGAGGACATAAGCAACCTCACTGCACAAAGCAAGTAAGTATAACCACTTTTTTATTTTTTAAAAAATATAAAAGCA